TGCCATCGTTCATGTTCTCTTTTATAATAACATTAATAAGCAACCTGCCATCGTTGATGTTCTGTTTTGTTCTAACGTTAATAAGTAACCTGTCATCGTTCATGTTCTGTTTTATAATAACGTTAGTAAGTAACCTGCCATCATTCATGTTCTGTTTTATATTAAAGTTAATAAATAACGTGCCATCGTTGATGTGCTGTTTTGTTCTAACGTCAATAATTAACATGCCATCGTTCATGTTCTGTTTTATATTAACGTTAATAATTAACATGCCATCTTTCATGTTCTGTTTTATAGTAACGTTGATAAGTAACCTGTCATCTTCATGTTTTGTTTTATATTAATGTTAATAAGTGGCATGCTATCGTTGCTGTTCTGTTTTTCCCACAGAGATGCTCGGTGAATGTAAGGACGATTCAACATATGAACCTTTTGAGGATTCCTTTATTTGTAAATGTAAAGAAAGTGGCTTTTATTACGATTACAAGGAAGAGAAATGTTTGGGTAAATATAGTTTTATATTTGATTGTGGGTTCGCATATTATTAAACAAAGTGATGTGTCTGAAACATTCGTTATTTCTAATCTATAAAAAGAAACCTACATCCATTTATCATATTATTGTGTGATTTTACCACATGTTATGACTGTTTTTATAAATGGTTGATTATATCAAGCATCTGGTTTAATCCAATGAAATATCGATGTAGTCCAATTATCAACTAGTTTAGTCCACTGAAATATCGATGTAGTCCAATTATCAACTAGTTTAGTCCACTGAAATATCGATGTAGTCCAATTATCAACTAGTTTAGTCCACTGAAATATCGATGTAGTCCAATTATCAACTGGTTTAGTCCACTGAAATATCGATGTAGTCCAATTATCAACTAGTTTAGTCCACTGAAATATCGATGTAGTCCAATTATCAACTGGTTTAGTCCACTGAAATATCGATGTAATCCAATTATCAACTAGTTTAGTCCACTGAAATATCGATGTAGTCCAATTATCAACTAGTTTAGTCCACTGAAATATCGGTTTAGTCCAATTATCAACTAGTTTAGTCCAGTGAAATATTGGTGTAGTCCAATTATCAACTAGTTTAGTCCACTGAAATATTGGTGTAGTCCAATTATCAACTAGTTTAGTCCACTGAAATATCGGTGTAGTCCAATTATCAACTGGTTTAGTCCACTCAACAGTCGGTTTAGTCCAATTATCAAGTAGTTTAGCCCATTCAACTGTCGGTCTAGTCCAATTATCAACTAGTTTAGCCCATTCAACTGTCGGCGTAATCCAATTATCAACTAGTTTAGTGCACTCAACAGTCGGTTCAGTCCAATTATCAACTAGTTTAGTCAACTCAACAGTCGGTTTAGTCCAATTATCAACTAGTTTAGTCAACTCAACAGTTAGTTTAGTCCAATTACCAAGTATTTTAGCCCATTCAACTGTCGGTTTAGTTCAATTATCAACTAATTTAGCCCATTCAACTGTCGGCGTAATCCAATTATCAACTAGTTTAGTCCACTCAACAGTCGGTTCAGTCCAATTATCAACTAGTTTAGTTCACTCCACTGTCGGTTTAGTCCATTTATCAACTAGTTGAGTCAACACCACTGTCGGTTTAGTCCAATTATCAACTAGTTTAGTCCATTCAGCTATCGGTTTAGTCCAATTATCAACTGGTTTAGTCCACTGAACAGTCGGTTTAGTCCATTTATCAACTAGTTTAGTCCACTCAACAGTCGTCTAACAAAAGTAAACAATCACACTGGACACCTAGTCGTCTAACAAAAGTAAACAATCACACTGGAACCCTAGTCGTCTAACAAAAGTAAACAATCCCACTGGACACCCAGTCGTCTAACAAAAGTAAACAATTACGCTGGACACCCAGTCGTCTAACAAAAGTAAACAATCACACTGGACACCGAGTCGTCTAACAAAAGTAAATAATCATGCTGGACACCCAGTCGTTCTAACAAAAGTAAACAATCACGCTGGACGCCCAGTCGTCTAACAAAAGTTTTACTTTTGTTAGACGACTAGGTGTCCAGTGTGATTATTTACTTTTACTAGACGACAAGGTGTTCAGTGGGATTGTTTACTTTTGTTAGATGACTGGTGTCCAGTGTAATTGTTTTAATCACACTGGACACCTAGTCGTCTCATCTCTTTGAAACAATAAAACTTCTATTAAGTAACACAGATTCTTAGAGAAGACAATAAGGAATTCTCAATAGCCGCGGCACTTGATATTTTTGTAACCAGAATTAGGGTAAATTAATCTATGAGACCTTTTTTTATTAACTATATTTGTGCAATACCATGCATGGGACACCTGTATACCCTATTTGATTTTATTACTATCTCTACCAGCCTACCCATAAATTGATATTATTTTAAATGGGATTAGGATAAATTAATCTTGAATGTGTCAATTAAATCAATACAAAGGTTCGACCTCCTGAGTCCAAAACTGTAATTTGATATCAAATCGATCAATAGATGACGGAGCTATGAGCCTAAAGTTTGTAAATAAATAAAGTACAAGAAAATCTCAGGACTGTTCTATAAGCCGCTTTGCTGCGACTAACAATAGACAATTTAATAATAGACAATAAATATTTATACACGAGACTGTATCTAGTCTATGAATACAATAAACGTACAGTGATACTGAGGACAGTCTCATTCACTAAATATTTCGAAGTTTTACTCCTTATGATGCCACAGTTCTCGTTTTCTCAATATTTGATTTTTTTACCTGTATATTTTAATTATTAGGTAAACATTTTACTATAGTTTTAGATTATTGAAAGTCTCATTTTTAACTGTATCATTAGACAACTGTTGACTTAATCGGAAACTCCTTTTCAATAATACATTTTATTAATGAAACTTAAACAACAAGTAACAGCTAAGACACCGGCAGCTGAAGTTTTTATAAAACTGTTTTCCGATTTTCTCAATACTTTTGTCACCAGGCGGGACAACGATAAGTTTGCAGACTTAAAATGATAAAATCTAGGGTTCGATCAATCGTGGTGGACATAGTAGATTATACAACGTGGCTTTTCAATGAAATGAACAAATAAACATAACTTTAAAACTTTAACTTGATCCTAAAACAATAATATCATACAATTTATATTTGGTTTTGAACTATAAAGTTTTTTTTTTAAGTGAAATGCTCCGATGTCCTTATCCGAACCATGCTTATCGTGTTTATATTTATTAAATAATTCGTTATTCACGGGTTTCTATCCATCTTTTTCTTTGTTTCAGTTACGGATATCACAAACAGTTCTTGTCTT